TTATAACCCTACTATAATTCAAAAAGTTAACCTTTTTTGGGCTACGGTACTCGGCCCCTCTAAGTGTTTGTGTTTAATCCAATGTACTGAGTCCCTAGTGATACCCTGACCCTCTACCCTTGAACCCTAACCTGCAAAGCCCTGCTCTAATCCCGGACCCTAAACCCTAAACCCTAAACCCTGCAATGAACCCTGCAGCCTAAAGCCCCAAAGCCCTAATTGCCCTAATAGAGGGGTCTAAAAAGACTGTTGTGGTGGTTCCTCATTATATTTCTAGTACAAGATACTCCCAAAACCCTATTCTAGTTATTCAGGCACCCTATAAACCCTAAATCCCTAAACCCGAAAACCTCAAGCCATGAAGCCCTAAACGCCCTGATTGCCTTAATTAAACCCTAAATCCTATAAAGCCTTAAGCCCCAAACCCCTAATTGCCCTAGTTGCCCTGTCAGCCTTGACTCCTGCTCGAGGCAGAGACTGCCTTCCTATCACCAGCATCACCACCCCTCCTACTTGGAGCTTGGGCCGGCGTTGGATTTTGGGGGTTTAGGGGTTTAGGGGTTTCGAGTTCAGGGGTTTAGGGTTTAGGGTTTCGGTCTTCGGGTTAGGGGCTAAGGGGTTTAGGGTTGAGGGGCTTGGGGTTTAGGGTTTTAGGGTTTAGGGTTTAGCGGTTTAGGGTTTAGAGGTTTAGGAGTTTCAGAGTTTAGGTTAGGGCTTGGGTTGGGCGGTTTAGGGTTTAGAGTTTAGGACTGTGTCGGGTTTTGGGTTATCGTTCGGCAAGGCTGGGGGCTGAGGGGTCAACTCGAAGGTCAGTGAGTTTGTTGTATGCACGGAGCCTCGGTGAGTTTGCCTGTGGTATTTGGGTGGTGTGGGAGGGTGTTAGTGTTCAGGGAGTTTTTCAACTTCCTGGTCTTAAGTCGCACACCCCAAACCCTAAAACCAAAGCCCCTAAAGCCTAAACCCTCAAAACCTAAACCCTATATATCCCGGCGCGGGCTGTACGCCCTGGCTGAGACCAAGCCGGAAAGCTCGGGGTCAGCGGCAAGTCTCCCAGTGGTACCCTTTTGCCCTTTTTGTTTTGGGTTTACGATTTAGGCTTTAGGGTTTCGGGATCTCCTCATGAAAACCGACTAGTATGAAAAAAGCCATCCTTTTTAATGAGGGGCTGTTGTGGAACCTAGCTCCATCATGTGCAGCCCAGCGTCTTCCGACGCGAAGCAATTCCGAGCATGTTCTGTCTCGCCGCTGCATTCAAGAGTAGAATCCCATGCCTAGAGGATCCATAAATACGACCAATTTGGAACCAGGTCCCCAAAAACCATACCAAGCATAGTCTTTCGGAGCCCAACTCCATACAGTACTGGTAGGATATGAGGACCCTCTGGGAAAGAAATCCACAGCTTTAGGGAGCCCATAAAGATGTCTCCACTCTGGTGGGCGCCGGAGGCTCCCGTTTAATCTCAGCTCTGGGGCCTCTTCCTGAAACATCCGACAAAATCTTGTGAAGGATCTCTTCCATAGCTTTCCTGAAGTACCCTAAACCCTAAACCCTACACACGAACCCATGGTTTTTCAGTTTTTTTCCGGAAAACCCTAAAACCTTCCCCCCCCCCACCCCCTACGTCGAAACCCGTCCCTGCATCTAAAACCCCAAAGCCTTCCACAAAATCCCTGTGAATCCTTAGAAAAGTCTATGAAGGCCAGAAGCCCAGATCTTCCAAAACCCAGGATATACCGCAAATCTGTTTAGAGATCCTGCTGTAATTTGAGGTTTAGGGTTTTGGGGTATATTAATTATCCTATAATCAAAATAAAAAAAACCCCAAAATAGTATTGGTAATTGTCTAGGCCCTATTAGCTATTTCTCAATTAACTTATATTCAAAGATCTGGGAACATTATGAGCTTCAGCAGACCGAGGATGGCGCCCGTCACTCGACGCCCGCACAGGCCGGCAGCGGCCGGACAGGGAAAAGGCCTCCGCGGGTCTTCAGGGAGGTACTGTTGATGAATCCTGCATTACCACAAGGACCCTAAACTATGGGCTATGGTATAACCCTTATTATGGCTCATGCAGGGTTTATATCATCAACCGCAGGGCTTAGGGTCTGGCGCGTGAAGCCGAGAGGGTTTTGGTTCTTGGGGAATGCGTGGTCCCAAATGCACGATCTTGCCTACTTCTCTGAGGGCTATAACCTTGTCACTAGCTAGGGTGTCACACTATGTTGCCGGGTTCGGTGGTGAGGTGTAGGAGGGGCCCTTTGTAGTTCATCACCAGTATGATTGAGGGATTTGTTCGTGGCTCAGGTTGTTGGGGCAGTTAGGGATTAAAGATTGAATTTGGATTATGGGGCTGGTGTTTTGCCCTGGCATTTCGGCTCTACAGTCAGTTCTTTTCTTTGGACCCTGTCTGCTCCACATCACCCGAGACTCCTTGATGTAAGATGACAGGACTCAGTTCATTGTTCTCACTCTTTGATTACTCATCTCAGATTCCGACCCCTTCGAAATGTACGTCTTGAAGGAAGCATCACCAGGATAATGCTATGTTGTATTTGTCTCGCTCCCTCACTCTCTCGCCCTTTATCTCCCTATCTAGTTTTCTGTCTGTCTATATGTGCATCTATCTATCCGGCTATCTATCTATCTATCTATCTGTCTGTCTATCTGTATAGACATTTATCTGTCTATGTACTTACCTATCCTTTGATCTATGTACCTAATTACATATCTACCTATTTGTATCTACCTATCTATCTGTCTATCTGTCCGTCGGTCCGTCTGTCTATTACCTATCTACGTATCTGTCTGCTGTGTCTATGTCTATGAAGATGTACATGTGTGTACCAGGACACGTCCAATATCAGAGGGAGACTACGAGCTCGGTTTAGGGTTTAGGGTTCAGGGTCTTGCCCTGAGTCCAGTGGAGCAGGATTCACGGTTCAGGCTCTCAGGATTCAGGGAGCCGGTGAACCCAGTCTTCTTAAGCACTTCTTACCCCTAAACCCAAAACCTAAGATGACCACTAAACCCTAAACTCCAAACCCAAAACCCTTAATTCTAATTAAACCCTAACCGACAGATATCATAGCAAACATTTTGTATCGAGTGATCCTGGAGCTCCAAACAGCCCAAAGTAGGTACCATTTATAGATTTTAGACCGGAAAATAGGTGCTATGATACTTGGAGCCCAAGCCCGAAACCCTAAACCCTAAACCCTGAATCCAAAACCCTATAGTCAGAGTCTCAGCCCGAGTCCTGCTGTGCCAGGCTACTCCGGGCTCTCAAGCGGAGCTTGGCGCAGTGCTGCCGCGGCGATGCCACGTCCTTGCGGCTTGGATACCGGATAATTTAAGGGTTTAGGGTTTAGGGTTTAGGGAATTTGCTGCCTGGGGCTCCTTTAAACGGTTCCTTTAAAGGGTTCTAAACGGGCTACTATAAGGGTTTAGGGTTTAAGGGCCTTCATAATTACCTATACTGGTTTGGGGGTTTCTGATTATAATTAGAGTATAACGGGCCCCAAAACCCTATTCTAATTATTTTAGGGCCCCTATATTAATTTGTTGCCCGGGGCTTTGGGCTGGGCTCAGGAACTTGGGACAGAGGGTTTAGGGTGTTGGGATGCAGGGTTGAAGATATGGAAGGCTACTTAGTTATAGCACCTTGGTCTTCTTTGAGGTGGTCGGACGAGTACGTGAAGCCTGTCCTAGGTATCGGTCTTAACTGGGCCTTGTTGGCGTGTGGGCTGGCGCTGGGTCTTGAGCTGGGGGTTGAGGGCCGCAAAGGTTTAGGGTTTAGGGTTTAGGTGTACGACTTGGTCTCTTGCTGGACTGGCAGGCCTACAGTACTAGATGGAAGCATCCACGGAAACTAGATCAGATACTCTCGACCCCACGCGGCTTTCATCAACTGCCGACCATGAACCCAGCTCTAAGTCAGTCCAAATCCCAACCTAAACTCGCAACCCTGAATCCCAACCTTCATCAATAGACCCTACGACCGTGCATGAAACTTCCAGTTGGCCTGCGAACGGTCTTTGGGACGCGCCGGCCTCAAACAAAGGTACCCATCTTCTTGAGAGATGTCACTGTATACACGGGGACACACATGCCAAGCAGAAAGCAACTGCTTGCTGTCAACATCCAAAAAAGGCTACGACTATGGCACAGCAAAGCCACAAGCCTCCAACATGGATCCTACTGGATCCCTGCAGATATCGAGCCCGACTGCTTAGGTACAGCGACATGGTCATCAGGACCTACTGCCCCATTCCCAGGCAAGTGGGGGGGGGGGGGTTGTTCTGCGGTGTTTCTGGAGTTAGGAGTGAACTGCTCGCAAGGCAACTATCAGCATCAAGCCGAGCTCGTGACAAGTAGAAGAACACCTAAACCCTAAACTCGCTGCGCAAGGCGCTTCAGCAGCTGAAGGCTTAGGGCTTCAAGCCGTCCGGTTCTTTGGTCATCTAGCTGACAGGTCGGGGCAGAAAGTCGGAACGAATCCATATGACAACAAACCCTAAACCCTAAACCCTAAACCCTAAACTATTCATCTAGCATACTCACATGCCTGAGTTTTCGCCAACCGAGCCTAGGCTCCCCAAAGTCATGGTACATGCTCTCCTCTGAACCCCGAAACCGGAAACGATAAATCCCTAAACCCAAAACCCCTAAACCTGAAACCATAGCTGCCAGATGACCAGGATCTGCTCGACCAGATGGTTTAGGGTTTAGGGTTTAGGGTTTAGGGCTGTCAACAATCCCTGTAAGCTTTATAAAACCTGTAAGTGCTGTGGCACCCTATGAAAACTGTTAGCCTTATATAAACTTGAAACCCTGTCAGCCCTATGAACCCTACCTGGACCCCAAAAGTATGTTGAATATCCGCCCTTGTATGGGGATTTGGCCATTATGTTACCTACTTTGGGAGGTTTAGGTATGGATCCAAACCCTATCTAAATCCTCTAAACCGTATGGTTCAGGTATTGGGATTCAGGGTCTAGGGGCCCTATCTATACTTCTAATCCAAGCCAGAGCTCCAAGGCACCATGACGGCGCGGAGGTGCCTCCGCCACTGCTGCCACGGGAGACGTTCGAGGTTGGCTGGGAAGGGCGTTTGGGTTCGTTTCGAGTTTTAGGGTTAAGGGTTTAGGGTTTAGGGGTTCTTCTCGAGTTTTAGGGTTTACAGTAGAAGCCAGAAACTTGGATCATCATTATCCTCATGCCCTTAAGGTACAGTATAGGGCAAGAACAACTTAGTGGCTGAGTAGGCAACCTTTAACCTTTTGGGCTCTTATAATCCTACTATAATACAAAAGGTTAACCTTTTTTGGGCTAGGGTAAACCCTAAACCCTAAACCCTAAACCCCTAAGACGAACTGCAACATGCAGGCCGGCCTTTACGATGTAGCGTTGCCGTGTACTGCTGAGTCGGTGTCGTAATGACAGTGAGGGTTTAGGGTTTAGGGTTTAGGGTTTAGGGTCCCTTGTTTGGTCCCCCAGATAGTACGGCACCCTTATAAAAGGACCCTAACAGGGACCCGAATTTATGGAACTACCCATGAGATCAAGCGTCGGCTTCAACGTAGTGTATCATTCAGTCGCAATATCTGTCTGTAATGGGCTTGACGGTGGTGGTGATCATCATTGTGATGAAGATGATGACAAAAGCAACGATGCTGTCTTGAAGCATTGATTTATCACCAGCCACACTCAATGAAGTTGTGAAGTTTTACGGTTACGGTTGCGGCAGCGAGACACTTCGCATTGAAACATAAGGTTCCGGCTCGAGCACTTCGGTGTCAAAGATTCCGGCCCCCAAAGCTTCGTCCCTGCTCTTTGGGAAGCCTCAACCTCGCACGCCACGATCCCACAGCGTCCAAGCAGTAGTATAGGATATGCGTTCGGGGCTACGATATCTACTAAAGTACCTACTAGATTGGTACTTGGACCCTTTTGGGGACGCCAGGCTTCCTTCAGGGCAGGCAGAGTTTGGGGCTGAAAGAGTTACTAGACTCTACCACTTGTCGAGGTCCCTATTACTATTTTCCGGAGTGTTGCAGCCTTAGCGCACAATGCTCCGGCTTGATGACTTCACAGTTTCGATGACAGTCAGGTGTACCTTGTTTTCTGTACGATTCTTGTCATTGTTAGTAGACCCTAAACCCTAAACCCTGAACCCCTACCAAGACTGACCTTCAGTTGAGAGTTAGTTGCTAGGCCACATAAGAGCTGATTGTCCCTTCGTGACCTAGTCCCCAAATGCGAAGTCGTGTCCCTGTTCGTGTTGGGGCTCCTTATAAATTTGCCACTAAACCCCAAACCCTAAATCCTTAAATCCCTAAACCCTACTTAACCCCTAAACCCAAAGCTCCTAAACCGTAAACCGTAATTACTTGATTCCGATTCCCTGTTCCGTGCTGAGGTTATGGCTTAACCCTGGGGCTCCAAAAAGCCCAAAGTAGGTACTATTTACAGACTTTAGACCCCAAAGTAGGTACTATTTGTATACTTGGAGCCCTAGGGTAAGGGTTTTGAGGGACCTTCGGAATCAAGACTATCGGCCTGGGGGTTCTACGGAACGGGTTGAGGGTTTAGGGTTTACCTTAAGAACCCAAAACCCACTTTTTTTTGTAGGTTCTTATTATAAGCCCTAGTATGGGATTTATAGGGACTCTAGAAAAAAGTAGGTTTTGGGTTCTTAAGGTAGGCTTCATAACCCCGTAAATCCCCATGAAAGCAACTCCCTATGCAATCAAGTCCCTTTTTCCGCGATGCAATTCCTAAGGCCCTAACGATCGCCAGAAAGCCTTCTAGACATCTCCATGAGCAACAGCCAAAAGCAGGCCGTGCTCCGGCGTTTGCTTCCCCAAATGGATCCCGCGGATTTGGCCACTTTGGGGGCTCTCTTCCAGGAGCTTATGGGGGTTTTCAGGGCTTTAGGGTTGAGGGTTGAGGGTTGAGGGTTAGGGTTTAGGGTTTAGGGTTTAGGGTTTAGGGTTTAGGGGTTTAGGGCTTTGGGGTTCAGGGTTTAGGGTTTAGGGGCTTTTCAGGGTTTCAGGCAGGGTCCAGGGCCTTTGGGTTGAGGCTAGGGCGGCACGTAGGGCTTAAGGTTTTTCGGGGTTTGAGAGTGTAGACTTCTGGTGTTTTTGTTTTGGTTCAGGGGGTTGTATGTATTTCGAATCCTATTCTGGTGGGTTTAAACACGTGTATTTACGTTTGGTATGGTCTTGGATACTAGATGTCGGGGTTTCTTGCATTGAATTAGTGGTTGAAGCTTTGCTTTCGAGATTAGTAAGGTGGATTTACGCGGTTGGGATTTAGTGTTGTGGGTTATGGGCTTGAATAAGCACCAAGGTGCCTTTCAATCCATGGAATGGAAGCATAGCTTGTTTCTGGCTGGCATGCACAAAGCCAAGGGTCCATAGTATACTAGCGTTATGACATTGGGTCCCTATAACACGACTCTTCTTATAGTTTAGGGACCTATTTCCGTAATAGTAGCATGCATGGACTATCTTGGAAAGTCACGAGCAACAAGATTTCAGGGTAAAGTCCGGAAGAAAACAAGGCGAAGGACGGTGCACTTGGTTCTTGTCGTTAAATGTTGGAGACAGTCTTACGCCTGTCGCCTTGAACTAGAACAGAACATGCCCAGGAAAGAAGCAGGGGTTTGTTGTTGGGTTTCAGGTTTTGGGGGTGTGTTTGTTTAAAGGGTCATCGGGTGCAGTGCCTCGGAGGGAGTTCGCTGCATAAGGAATCCCTTCAAATGGCATGACTCACCATCCCAAGCCAAATCCTATTCACTGATGCCCGCTTGCACATACCCTAAAACCCCTAAACTATATTCGTATTGTGTATTTCGGGGCCCTTAAATGAAGCGTTGAGGACTGTCGATTTCTTTGTGGTAAACCTGGGCTCGGCGATTTTAGGTTCGGACTTTCAACCCTAAACTTCCCGAAACCCGACTCGGATGAGGGAACCGGTCCGAGGGCTCAGGAGAATCTTTTTTCCCAGAGCCCAGAATCCGCGAATTGAAGAACTTCCATGGAATCAGAAGAGGAAGCCCTACTCGTACATAATTTAAGTAGTGTAAGGAATGTTCCGTAGCTATGCAGTAGTGGGATCTCTGGGTGCTGGTGTTTAGGGATGTCTCTTGCAAAGGGCCCTCGCAAATCATAGTATGACAGTATGATGTAGACCAAAACCCCGTTCGAACTATTGATACTGTGGGTTTCAGATCTGCCTAAACGTTTGTTGTACCTTCGCAGGACTTAGCAAGTAGGCTATAAGCAGCGCGCTAATTCATCACTCATGACCCTAATAAGAACTTACTTGCTAAGTCGCCTGATGCTTCAAGTACCCCTCAACCAATGAGAGACTTCATCGTCTCGAACTTAGGATTAGATCTGTGAGGCTTAATTTCTGTAGGGGCCTCAATAATTACCTATACTAACTTGGGCGTTCCTGAGTATAATTATGGTATAATGGGCCCAAAACCCTATTCTAATTTTTAAGGCCCCTATACTAGTGCGAAGCTTCATCACTCAATCGAATGGTTCAAATACAAACCCTTAGACCTACGCCGGCAAAGAGTCTTCTCCAAGATCTAAGCTCTGTACACGCATGTCTTGTCGCCTCATTCGATAGATACATAAACAATCGCCAGACCGATTGCTACTCGCTACAGCTGCCCTTTCAATCTTCGCACACAGGTGATTGGCTTTGTGGTCCTTAGTAGCGGGTATTTCGGGTGTAATAGAGGGTAGTTGGGGAACCCTAAACCCCTTCAACCCTAAACCCCTAAACCCCGAACCCTATAAACCCCTGAGCCCTAAACCCTAAACGAACCCAAAACCCTAAACCCCGAACCGTATAAACTCCCTAGGCCCTAAACCCTAAACGAAGCCTGAACCCTCTCAGCCCTAAGCCCTAAACGAAGCCTGAACCCTCTCAGCCCGAAGCCCTAAACGAACCCTAAACCCTCTCAGCCCTAAGCCCTAAACGAACCCCAAACTCTCGGCCCTAAACCCTTAACTCTCAGCCCCAAACCCAAACCCTCAACGAACCCTAAACCCTCAAGCCCTCAAGCCTCAACCTGAGACTTCATGGAGGTCTCAGGTTGAGGACTCCAGAGCCCCACGTCGACGCAGGGTCTGGGAACTTGGAAACTAGGGTTTAGGGTTTAGGGTTTAGGGTTTAGGGTTTAGGGTTTAGATGTATAAGTACCCTAGAAGGGTTCTATGAGGGTCATGATCGGTAATACGTAGATGTATAGGTACCGAAAAGGGGTCTAATAAGGCGTCTTGGAGGGTCAGGGGACTTAGCAAGGAAGTCTACAAAATAGCTACGCACCCTAAAAGGGGTCCTAGTTGGGGTTATGATACTTATATAAGTTAATAAGTACCCTAAACCCTAAACCCTAAACCCTAAACCCTAAACCCTAAACCCTAATAAGTCTATAAGTGAGTTTCGGCATCGACGAGGACCCGGTCAGAAAGGACTGCGTCGACTACCGAGCCTTCGTGCAGGGACTACAGGCAGGGCTGAGCAGAGCTTGGGTTTAGGGTTTAGGGTTTAGGGTTTAGGGTTCAGGGCTCATGGGGATTACTGTAGGGGCCTTGGTCATTAGCATGGGGTTTGGGGTATAGTATACTATATTTATACAATCAGGAACCCCCAAAACCCTATTCTAACTATGAAGGCCCCTACACTAGGGGTTTCAGGGTTTAGGGGTTTAGGGTTCTGGGGTATAGGGGTTTCAGGGTTTAGGGTTCATGGTTTAATATAGAGGCCGTAATATTTAGAATAGGGTGTTGGGGGCTCCTTATTATAATCCTCGTATAATATACCCCAAAGCCCTCTTCTAATTTTTCAGGCCGCTACATCAGGGGTTTCAGGGTTTAGGGTTCGGGGTTTTGGTTTTAGGGTTGTTTTAGGGTTCAGGGTTCAGGGAGTAGATCGCTGAGGGTTCAAAGGTTTCGGATTTCATGGTTTAGGGCAAGTTTAGTGTGTCAGGGTTTAGGGCTCAGGGCTTAAATCTTGGAGGGTTTTAACTTATTAAAGGTTTCGGATTTCATGGTTTAGGGCTAGGGCGTAGGGTTGAGGGTGGGGAAGAGACGTCGTGCATGGTGAGGCATGGGTTCTGGATAAAATTAAAGATATTGGCCACCCTAAACCCTAAACCCTAAACCCTAAACCCTAAACTAAACCCCAATGGGTGTTAGGGGAACGTAAGGCTGAGGCGGGCTCCTTCTCGGGGTTCGGGGTGTGGGAGGGTTAATCTAAGGGCTTCAATATAATTACCTATACTACTGTTGATATGAATCCTGCATTACCTTCAGGACCCTAAACTGCAGGAATTATGGTATATTCCTTACTCTTGGTAATGCAGGTTTACATCATCAACCGTATTTTGTTTGTTTGGGGTTCTTTATTGGAGTTGTAGTATAATATACCACCCAAAAAGCCCTATTCTAAGTATTAAGGCCCCTATATTCTGTGGTTAGGGTTAGGGTTGTGGCAGTTTCCAGCTCCAGGGGTGTGCTCAACTTGGATTTGGCCGTCGGTGTGACGCGACATCGGAAGGCAGTTCGGTCTAGGACATTTTCGGGTGGGTAGTTACCGTTGTTGGAGCCTTGTAGCAGGTCTATATACCTTATAGAAGCCCTATATACTCCAAACTCCCCACCTGTAGTTTCGTTTAATTCGGTGTCTTGAATCCAGACCTTCCAACATCGGTTCATGAAGGAACATACCTTGAATCGTATGGGATCCTAGGATATTTATGAAATTGAGGTAGATTATTAAGGAGCATAGGGAACATACCTTAAAATCGTATGGGATCCTACGGTATATAAGGTAGATTCATTCATTCTTGGATGTTGGAAGGTCGGGGAACTCAAGGAATTGCACAGCACATTGAATCTTGGGTTTTCTTCCGTAGTCTTCGCTCAGTCATGCATACAATATGTGTAGCATCCCCGTGTTAAGAAACACTGGGCCCGTATCAGGGGTTCTTTAGACACGAACTTTACTATTTTGGTGTTATAGGGCCAGGGTTTCTGAATCAGGTTGCTATATTAGGTTTTCCAAATCGCCACGATTAGGGTCTCGAACCTCGAAATCGCTAAAGGGAAGATGCCCTAAGCCCTAAACCAGCTTGTCTTAGCTATCCCCAATATAAGGGCCTAAGTAAATGCCAAGACTGTTTGGGGGGGTTCCGTATTCGAATTGTAGTATAACTTATCCCAAAAGCTTGTTCTAGTTATTAAGGCCCCTATGCTAAAGCCTTACAGTAACCCTGATCGACCCCTTTAAAGGAACCCTATTCTAGTCATGAAGCCCCCTACATTAGGCCTGTATCAGGGTTAATGATGGTTAATGCCTCAAACCGCGACCTGTAACAAAGAAACTCCAGGTTCCAAGTGGGAAAGCAAAACCCCAAAGTCAGGGTTTAGGGCTTCAGCCTTAAACCTAAACCCTAATCCCTGAATCCTACACCTAAACCCTGAATCCTGAATCCTAAACCCTAAATCTTGAATCCCAAACCTAAACCCTGAATACTGAAGCCGAGTTCCTGCCACTGCAGCCCTACACTCCATTCTCGGGTCCCTGACAAAAAGCTTTAGGGTTTGTGGTTTAGGGTTTAGGGTCTCTGGTGTCGGGTTTAGGGAAAATTTTACGAATATTCTTACCCGGTTCGCTTATTTATATATATATATATATATATATATATATCTATGTACACCCCACATATTGCATGACAACAACAAAACCCTTCTAGACCCGTTGAATAGCAAAGAGACAGTTGGCTCAAGATTTCAGCTTCGGGCGCCAAGCACAAAATTCCTGACTGCAAGATGCCCAATATTGTTTTGAGAGCTGCTGCTTCTGGTGCTGAGACTCTCGGATCTATGGGTTTACGGTTTAGGGTGGGGTTTTAGTGTGGGTTGAGGCTTTAGGATAGGGAACTAGACTGGGGTTTGGGGAGATATTACAGTATATTTTGCAATCAGGAATTTCCTGAACTCTAGAGCAGCTACATGATCAGGGTTCCTCATGATGCTTTCGTCATATAGATCTTAGGTTATTCGGGGGTTCAGGTTAAGCTTGAGCTACCCTGTCATTTCATGATTCCAGAGCCTAACCCATATACTCCCCTGTAAAGAGAGCCCAGGATTGCCACAGTAACGGCGGAGCCGCTTGAGCTCGTGGCACGGCTCCGCCGCGCTGCGGTGGCCGCCGGGCACGGAGGCCCGGCTGAGCTGCGCTGCGGCCTACGCCTGATGTGCGGCTCGGAGGTTTCGCCGGGGAGTTTGGGGTTTAGGGTTTAGGGGTTTAGGGTTTAGGGTTTAGGGTTTAGGGTTTAGGGTTTAGGGTTTAGGGTTCAGGGTTTAGGGTTTAGGGTTCAGGGTGGGTTGCCATAGCATTTGGGGCTGTACTACGGAGTCGATGTTGTGAAGGGATTTGCGGTTTAGAGTTAAATCCTAAACCCAAGACCCGAAACCCTATAAGTCTTAAACCAAAAAACCCAATGCCCTAAACCCAAAGCTCTAAACCCTAAACCCCAAAGCCCTAAACCCTAAACCCCAAAGCCCTAAGCCCTAAACCCCTAAACCCCTGAAGCCCTAAACCCTAAACCCCTCGACCCTAAACCCTTAAACCCAGGTGCTGCGCGACAGCGCGACCCTGGAGGCCTCGGGTCTTGGAGGTGGCGGCACGGTGGACGTGGTGAAGGAGGGGATTTAGGGGTTAGGGGTGGGGGTTTTAGGGGTTTGAGGGGATTTAGGGTTTAGGGGTTTAGGGGTTTGAGGGGTTTTCGGGGTTTTGGGGCTTAGGGTTTAGGGGCTCAGGGGTTTAGGGGTTTAGGGGTTTAGGGGGTTTAGGGTGTAGGGGCTTAGGGGTTTACGGGTTTAGGGGGGTTAGGGATTTAGGGGCCTAGGGGCTTAGGGGTTTAGTTAGGGGCTTAGGGGTTTAGGGTTGAGGGCTTAAAGGGGTTTAGGGGTTTGAGGTGGGGGTTTGAGGGTTTTAGGGGTTTTGGAGTTTAAGGTGTTTAGGGTTTAGGGGTTTTGGGGTTTAGGGGTTTAGGGGTTTAGGGTTTAGGGGCTTAGGGGCTTAGGGCTTAGGGGTTTAGGGGTTAAAGGTTGAGGGCTTAGGGCTTAGGGCTTAGGGCTTAGGGCTTAGGGCTTAGGGGTTAGGGGGTTAGGGGTTTAGGGATTCGGGTTTAGGGCTTTGGGTTTAGGGTGTCGGGTTAGGGTTTGGGGCTTTGGGGTTTAGGGTTTCGGGCTTTAGGGGATTACGGATTTAGGGGTTTGGGATTAGGGCTTAGGGTTTAGGGGTTAGGGTTGAGGGCCTAGGGGCTTTGGGATTTGGGTTTAGGGTTTAGGGCTTAGGGCTTAGGGCTTGGGTCACAGGGAGGGTGTAGGGTTTGGGGTTTAGGGCTTCGGGTTTCGGGCTTAGGGGTTTAGGTGTTTAGGGTTTAGGGTTTAGGGCTTCTGGGTTTAGGAAGAACGGCTCAGTTTTTTTTGGGCTTAGGGTTTAGGGCGTAGGGTGTAGAGCTTCGGGGTGTAGGGTTTAGGGCTTTGGGGTTTCGGGCTTAGGGCTGCGGGTTTAGGGGTGGTTCATCACAAATTCTTACCGGACCCTTGTTGGGTAAGTGGTCGTAATTTAGTGTAATCATATACATTTCCAGAGTTATAGATCCTGTGAAAGGTAATATAATATAGGAGCATGTAGCTTAATAGCTGGAAGGCTTGACAGAATTTCCAGAGGGATAAGGCCATCGTACAAGCCATAGATCCTGCGACCCTAAACCCTGAAGCACGGCCCTCAGCCCAAAACCCTTAAAGAACAGCCGAAAACCCTTAAACCTCACAGTCCAAAACCCAATATCACGTGATCAAATCCAACCCTCAGGGTCCATGTACCCAAGAAGTATATATATATATATAGAGAGAGAGAGAGATTTTACAACGTACCTATGTAGGGACTACTTGAAGGCCAAAGTAGATGATATTTGGGGCACCTGGACCCTTATACCCTAACCCCTAACCGTTGCCCTAACCCTAAACCCTGAACCCTTATATACATACATACATACATACATACATACATACATACATACATACATACACATAGTGTTAATAATAATAATAATAATCATCATCACCATCATCATAAACATCATAATAATATTCATCATGATAAGAATAATACTAATATAATAATAGTAGTGATTCGAATAGTAATAGTAATAATCAAACCAAACAGATCCAAGACTTTCAGGTGCCGGCCCTTGAGCTCTGGCGCGAGAGCAACATCGCTTGGAATTCGATCCTTGCAGCCAACCGGGAGAGCTTTGGGGTTTAGGACTTTGGATTTTGGGTTTAGGGTTTCGGGTTTTGGGTTTAGGGTTTTGGGTTTTGGGCTTAGGGTTTTGGGCTTCGGGTTTTGGGTTTTGGGCTTAGGGTTTAGGGTTTAGGGTTTCGGGTTTCGGGTTTTGGGTTTTGGGTTTTGGGCTTAGGGCTTAGGGTTTTGGGCTTAGGGTTTAGGGTTTAGGGTTTAGGGTTTTAGGGTCTAGAGTTTAGGGTTTAGGGTTTAGGGTTTAGGGTTTTAGGGTCTAGAGTTTAGGGTTTAGAGTT